TGGGCAAATCTGCTGCAAAAGACCTCTTTAAAGTGTTAAAAAACAAAGATGTCACCTTGAAAACTAAGATGCGTCTGACCCAAGCTGTGGTGTTTTCAATTGCCTCATGCATGCGAAAGCTGGACAGTGATTAAGGAAGACCAAAGAAGAATTGATGCCTCTGAATTATAGTGTTGGTGAAAAATATTGAATATACCATGAACTGCCAAAAGAAGGAACAAATCTGTCTTGGAAGAAGTTCAGTCAGAATGCTCCTTAGAAGGAAAGACGGTGAGATGTCGTCTCACATACTTTGGACATATATTATCAGGAGGGATCAGTCCCTGGAGAAGGATACCATGCTTGGTAAAGTAAAGGGTCAACGAAAAAGAGGAAGACCCTCAACGAGATGGATGAACACAGCTGCTACAATGGACTCAAGATAATGATCATGAGGATGGCGCAGGACCGGGCAGTGTTTTGTTCTGTTGTACATAGCGTAGCTATGAGTTGGAACCTATTCGACGGCACCTAACAAGAACAACAACAATTGTTTGGTTATAGAAGACTTCAGGGGATATTTTTGGTTTAAGATTTAAAGATCATCTTGGCAATAGGTTTTTAATTTTGATGAAGTCCAGTTTACTTACTTTTTGTTTTGTTGCTCATGCTTTTGGTGTCATTCCTAAGAATCTATTCCCAAATCCAAGGTCATGAAGATTTACACTTACGTTTTTTTCACAGAGTTTTTTAATTTTAGCTCTTAGATTTAGGTCATTGATCCATTTTAAGTTAATTTCTGTGTACAGTGTGAGGAGTACTGTAATAACTTGGAAGCATATTTTCACTCAGGGAGAAGACAAGTGTTTGTCCCAGGAGAAATCCGTGGTCGTTGGCCCATTGAAGACATCTGCCGGTCTGAAAGGCCACTCCTGCAAACTAGACATGAGCAATACTGGAGAATCACTAGCCACAATCAGCAGAGTAAATATCAATATCTTACCTGCAGAAAGGAAGGACTCAATGGGCGACGGCTTAGTTCAGGAGACTCAACCAGGACGCTTAGATCCCTCTAATGCGTTAGAAGATAAATGCAATATTTCTCAAGTGAAGGAGGAGGGGCTGCAGGATAACACTAAGTCCGGTGCTCAGCTGGAAAACCTAATTCCCACATGGTCCTCAGATGATGCCACTGAGGCAGGGGATGACCCAGTGAAGCTTCTGCAGTCCGTAAGCAAAGACCAAAAGCCAAAGGACCAGGTGAGTAATGCATGTGAGGTGCTGGGTTTGGAGAAAAGATGGGAAAGGGCCGTTACAGTGGTGTGGGTTGTGTTATTTGGTTATGCTCTAGTTGTTGTTTTAGGAAAATCAGTTATTCTGTATACCAGTTTAAACATAGGAGAAACCGAAGAACAGACCTGAGAGGTTCTTAGATCCCTCCTGTACCCTGGCGTTAGTGTGCTTGGGGGAAACATGCTCGTTGTATGTTTTTTCTCTTGATTTCTGCATCATTCTTCCTTAGTGCTTCAAGTGGATGAAAAGTTCCAACAATTAGGTAATATCACATCCCCTCTTGCTTTTGATAAATTAGTAGATTGATCTGATTTCTTAACTTAAGGAATAAAAAAATGTGTTGGAACCAAGGGGGAAGGAGAGCGAGAAGAAAATGAAAGAAACCAAAGGATTTTGATAATAAGAGACTATTCTGAGTAAATTCAAAGATTATTTTCTACTTGAATGTGGTTAAGACGCCTGTTAGATGAAGCACGGTAATAGTTGAGGATTAGGGGGAAAGCCAGAACATTAGACTAAATTTAAATTTTTATATGTAAAAGAATATAATCTTTTACATATATTTAATATTACATTGAATATATTTTGCATTTAATATATTAAAAACAGCTTATATTTAATGTATTGAATATATTTTTATATTTAACATATCTTCTTTTATATAAATATATATGTTGTTGTGTGCTGTTGAGTTGATTCCAACCCATAGCAGCACTGTGTGACAGAATAGAACTGCCCTATAGGTTTTCCTAGGCTGTAATATTTACAGGAGTAGATCACCAGGTCTTTTCTTCCAACGAGCCACTGGTGGGTTCGAACTGCCAGCCTTTCAGTTAGCAGCTGAACACTTTAACCATTGCACCACCAGGGCTCTGTTAAATATATATATAAAACTATTTTATAAATTCATATTAAAATGTTTTTAATAAAGTTTCATTTTTATGGAAAAGTACAAGTGTAATGCTCTGGTCCTTTAAAGGCGTTGGATTCAAAACAAAATACCATCTTAAGCTTTCCCTGGACACTGGAACTCAGTACTTTACAGATAAAATTATAAAATTACATGTGTTCAGCTTGTTTTGCGTGGCTATCAAATTATATTCAAGTTCACATCTCTTTTTTAAAAAGTTTATTTATTATTTTTAAGTGTAAAATTCAGTGATTTTTATTATATTCATGAACTTGTATTCTAGAATATTTTCATCACCGTAAAAAAGAAACTCCACACCCAGTATCAGTTATTCTCTGCTTCTCCTTCCGCCAGCGCTGGCAGCCATGCCTCTGTGGATTTGCCTGTTCTGGGCATTTCATATAAATGGAGTCATATGTGTTCTTTTGTGACTGGCTTCTTTCACTTAGCATGATGTCTGCAAGATTCTTCCATTTTGTAGCATGTATCAGTGTTTCATTCCTTTCTATTGCTGAAGAAATTCCATTGTACGTATACAAATATGTATTCATTCATCAATGGATTAACAATTGGATTGTTTGCACATTATGGATAATGTTGCTATTAACATTCATGTACAAGTTTTTGTGTGGACATATGTTTTCAGTTGTCTTGGGTATATACCTAAAAATGGAAGTAATGTGTCATAGTACCTGAATGTTGCAAACAGTTAATGCACTTGGCTGCTAACTGAAAGGTTGAAGGTTCGAGTCCACCCAGAGGTACCTTGGAAGAAAGGTCTTGTAATCTATTTCTGAAAAACCAGCCATTGAAAACCCTATGAAGCACGGTTCTACTCTGACACACATGGGGTCGCCATGAGTTGGAATCTACTCAATGGCAACTGGTTATGGTAGCTCAATGATAAACTTTTCTAGGAACTACCAAACTGTTTTCCACAGTAACTACACCATCTTACATTTCCACCATCAATATATGAGATGTGCAATTTTTCTACATCCTCACCAACACTTGTTATTGTCTGTCATTTTGATCATAGCCATCCTAGTGGGTGTGAAGAGGTATCTCATTGTAGTTTTGACTGGCTTTTCTTTAATAAGTAATGATGTTGATCATCTTTTCATATGCTTGTTGGCCATTTGTCTGTCTCCTAAAAAATATCAAGTCAGATCCTTTGCCCATTTTTATTTACTTATGGTTTATTTATTTTTTTATTGTTGAGTTGTATGAGTTCTTTGTATATTCTCGATACAAGTCCCTGATCAGATACATGATTTGCAGATATTTTCTCCCATTCTGTGGGTTGTCTTTTTCCTTTCTTGATGGTGTCCTTTGAAGCACAAAAGTTTTTAATTTTTTTTTTTGTGGTAAATAAAACATTTTCCATTTCAACAATCTTCACATGTACAGTTCAGTGACATTAAATATGTTCATCATGTTGTTCAACCATCACCATTCCTAATTTTTTCCATTACCCTTAACAGAAGCTCAATGTCGCCTAAGCACTGCCTTCCTTTCTTTTCTAAAGTTTTAATTTTGATTAAGTCCAGTTTGTCTGTTTTTTCTTTTGTCACTTGTTTTTTGGTGTCATACCTAAGAAACCAGTCAAATCCAAGGTTATAAAGATTTATACCTATGTTTTCTTCTAAAGGTTTATAGTTTTAGTGCCTACCTATAGGTCTATAATCCATTTGAATTATTTTTATGTATGGTGTGAAGAAGGGGTTCCAACTTCATTCTTTTGCATATGACTATCCAGTTGTCCCAGCACTATTCATTGAAAAGACTGTTGTTTCCCCACTGAACTGTCATGGTACACTTGTCAAAAATCAGTTGACTGTAAATGTACGGGTTTATGTAGGACTCCCAGTTCTGTTCCATTGATCTCTATGTCTGTCCTTGCTCGGCTGCTACCCCAAAGGTTGGTGGTTCGAACCCACCAGCTGTTCCACAGGAGAAAGATGTGACAATCTACTTCCATAAAGATTACAGCCTTGAAAACCCTATGGGGCAATTCTACTCTGTCCTGTAGGGTTGCTGTGAATTGGAATTGACTTGATGGCAATGGGTTTAGTTTTCTGGTTTTATGCCAGTACCACACTGTTTTGATTACTGTAGCTTTGAAGTAAGTTTTGAAATTGGTAAGTGTGAGTTCTCTAATTTTATTCTTATTTTTCGAAATTGTTTTGGCTATTTTGGGTCTTCTGCATTTCCACATGAATTTTAAGATCAGTTTTGTCAGGCTTTGCAAAAAAAAAAATCTGGAATTTTGATAGAGATATTGTTGAATTTATAGATTATTTGGAGAGTATTGCTATGGTAACAATATGTAAGTCTTCCTTCCCATGAACATAAGATGATTTCTAATTATTTAGATCTTGAATTTTTTGCAAAGTTTTATAGCTTTACACTTTTTTTGGGGGGGTTAAATTTATTCCAATGTATTTTATTCTTTTTGTGCTATTGTAAAAGGAATTGTTTTCTTAATTTTGTTTTTATATTGTTCATTACTAGTGTATAGAAATGCAATTGATTTTTGTATATTCATCTTGTATCTTACAGCCTTGCTGAACTATATTGATTCTGATAGTTTGTTTTGATTCTTTTGTGGCCTTCTTAGGATTTTCTGCATACAAGATCATGTCATCTGCGAATGGAGTCAGTTTTACTTCTTTGTTTCCAATCTGGATGCCTTTTATTTCTTTTTCTTGCCTAATTTTCCTGGCTAGAGCCTCCAGTACAGTGTTGAATAGAAGTGGTGAGAGCAGACATTCTAGTCTCGTTCCTGATCAAGTTCACTCCTTATAGCTAGCTTTTAGAGCAGATATTTTGTTTCCTTAATATAATTTCATGTCCAGCATTTTCTCTATTTTATTGTCGTTGTTCATAAAAGTAGAAGAACTTTTATTCAGGACCAATTGGATTTCATGGAGAAGCTCCTTAAGCTGTTCATTTCTATCATTCTCATATGTGTGTAAGCTTTATTTTGGACACTCCGTATTTATTGCCAGCAGGGAACTAAAGATTTATTTCCCTCTTCAGAAGTGAATCAGTTAGTTGTTTACTATTTTAATCTCCTTGTTCAGCTAGTTTATAAAATTTAATCATTTAATACATTTTATAGTTAAAAATAAGGAGCCCTGGTGGCTCAATGGTTAACGTAAGAACAGTGAACCAAAAAGTTAGCAGTTCAAACCCACCTGGCAGCTCTGCAGGAGAAAAGAGCTGGTGATCTGCTCTCATAAAGATTACAGCCTAGAAAACCTTATGGGGCAGGTCTGCTCAGTCACGTGGAGTCGCTGTGAGTCGAAAATGACTCGATGGCACCTAACAACAACAACAACGCGGTTATTTATGTCCAATATTAAGTGTAACGTTTAAATAACATTAAAACTATTTTACCTACAGGAGTCATACTTTTGTGTTTTCCAGAGGATCTAAAAATGTTGTATTAATGCTATTGACACTTAAAAAACAATCTTACCTTGTATTAATATTGCAGTGTTTGTTTTCCTTTCTAAATTGTACCACATAGTAGGCTTTTGATAAAAATGTGTTGATTGAATGATAATCAATTCCCAGTGTCCATGTACTTGCAAACCTAGATATTCTGATAGGTAAAAACTGTTAAAAATAATTGCAAGGATCTATTTTATTTTATTTTAATATTTGATATGTATTATTCTAAAACCAGCTATCCAAATAACACACTGAGTCCCTGGTGATCTCTATAACTTAAAAGGTAATTTATTTTATCATTACTACTGCTAGCAATACCTGAAGCAAAACCAAAACCATCGATTCTGACTCATAGTGACCCTGTAGGACAGAGTAGAACTGCCCCATAGGTTTCCAAGGTACAACTGGTGGATTTGAACTGCTCACCTTTTGGTTAGCAGCCAAGCTCTTAACCAGTGTGCCACCAGGGCTCCCTGCTAGCAGTAGCTCTCATTTTTTGAGCATCTAATATGTGCCAGAAATAGTCCTAAATTCTTTTAATATACCATCTCATTTAATCCTCAAGCAATAATACAAAATATGTGTGGCATTATCCCCATTTTACAGATAAGGAAATCGAGATACCAGGAGATTGTTTCTCACATATTTTGGTTCATCTGACTCCAAACTCAATGCTCTTTTCACTGTGCTTTTTGGGGAAATAAATTTATATTGAATTGGATATCATTTAAAGCATTTATTAGACTTTTCTGAATGGAAAACCTATTAAAAGTTATGAAGAGATTTTTTTAAATTTATTTATTTATTGAATCAAACATCAGTAGTTCAGGTTAATAACAATATGAGTAATTTAATTAAAATAATTATTCCTTTTTAATTAAGGAATGAGAGAAAAAAGCCAGAACATTTGGATAACTAATATCAGCATTTTGTCTTTGCCTGTCAGCACAGCAAATAAGCATTCATTTTGAGAAAGACAAACTCTTCTTCATTTTATTTTACTATTTTAAAAGTGAGTGTGGGGTTTGGCCATTTGGAAGTTCAAAAAATTACTTCATCATTCTGTGTGTTTGTTTTTTCATTGTATTTTTAAAGGATCCAGTTGCTGGTAAATGTACTGTAGAAAAACAGGGCAGAATCCACCCAGGCTTACAGCCACACAGCTCTGGGTCTGAACCCTCCCTGTCTCGACAGCGACGGCAGAAGAGAAGAGAACAGACCGAGCACAGTGGGGGAATGAGGCAGGTCAGTGGAGGTCTCTTTGGAACAACTCATTGTGCTGCTGCTTGGGAAACAGACTTCGGGAAGCTCGATTTCTATATAGAACGATCAACAGTTGCCAAAACAGCACATAAGAAATGCAAGGAACATATGGAGAGAAGGGCACTGATGGCAAGATTCTAAGTACTAGTTTTCAAATATGAATGAGTTGGAAGCAGAGTAAGGATTTTATCTTCCCCAGCAAAGATGGGCAGATCATTTTGAGAGTTAAATAAGCTAACAAGGGTAAATCTCACCCCTTGTGTGTTATATTGAAGAATTGTTTCTCTTTCACCCTCTACACAAAACCATGTTGATATCTCATTTCTTTTTTATTTTTTCCTATACAAAAATTTATACATACACTGTTATGTGACTCTGATTGCTCTCCCTGTACTGTAACAGCACACTCCTCCTTTCCACCTCTGATTCCCCATGTCCATTCA